GAGCACTTTGGAATGTAATCGAGTCTCTTACAACGTATGTGATATCCGGGAAAATTCTCCACTCGATTGTTACACTATATCAAAGACTTGTGCTAGACTTATTGTTTTAGTAATTATGATGTTTTTGTTCTACGTTCACCTATATTTTTTGTACTATGTTTAAAGACCAAATGACACCCAAAAAAGTCTGTAAAATACATACAAATATCGGTACATACAATATAGTCACTTGAAGCTTGTTACAATCACGATGACTGAGAAATTGAGCTTGTACGGCCTTCTAAAAGTGGGTTTTTGGAAACACTCTAGCAAGTTTCCCAGTCGCCCTCCTTGGGCATCTCTATTTGCATCTCTATGTTTTATTTTTGCTTCTTCCTGAGCTGACATCACTGGATGACATCAGCTCAGGAAAAAATACAGACATGCAAAAATAAAATGTAGAGATGCAAATCGCCTGCCAGGACTGGTTTGTGCTGACTTTTCCCAGGCAGAGCATTAGAATTTCGAGTGTAACAGGAGAACCGTGCATATTTATTGTAAATGTGTCTGTTAGCCAGGAAATACTAGTTATGTCAATTACAATCAGCTAAAGTCATATTTTGGTGTCATGAACACTTTAATAGTTGTTGCCATACATTGTACCATGTAGAATCAAATTCTTTATCTGTATTTAGCAGGGGCATTAGCGGTTTATATCAGCTGATTTTATATGTATATATGGCAAGAAAGTGGACATGAAAAACTAAGACACATTTTACAACTGGTTTGTAAGATTTTAGAGCGAGTGAAATCGGTGTGGCAAGAGTTCGTTTAGTAATACGTAATTGGGTTGGCCACTACTGTATACGTATTTGTCATACATATATGTACATGTTTCTGATCCTTCTTTACATCGTCTAGAGTAAGTCATTTATTTTAACTGATTTTAAAATATGGAGACTCCGTTTTATTGTAGCGAATGATACAATGTCTGTAACTATATAAATGATGTTTGGAAGGAAAGTTATAGCGAATAGAATGAATAATAATATTAGCTGTATTTCCACCAGTAATGTATTTAACTAATAACTGTAAAGAATGTGCTTTTAGCCGTACAATACCAACGTCTGGACCCACTTTATGAATATGTAAATCATAAAAACAACCAACAGAAAGCTTTTCGCTTATCACCTCAAAACTTACCAAAGACGTACACAATAGTAACATGAATTAAATGGTTATGGCTTACCTCTTTTGTATATTATTTTTTAGAAATAAATCGATGAGAACCATACTAAAGAATATGTTGAGGACCTGAATTTGTGTCCTATGCTTATTTAGTCAGGAATTCATCGCATATGATTCTATACACTATCAGGTGTTATAATGTGACACTTATGGGGATTTGATGAAAATGATGTAATACAATACTGCAAGAAATCTGAAATCATGTGGACATTAACAATTATATATATCTGAAAGATAAAAGGACATTATATATTGCCCTTCTTACACAGTTTAATGGACAGAAACTGTTACTAAATACAGGACAAGGACACACATGTGTAAAGGCGCCAAAATGTCAGCCTTTAGCGTCTAGCCTCCACATTCTCCCTTTCACATTTTTGTGTATATTACATATATTGTTTACATTTATTGAAGTTCTCAGCCAAACTCGCATAAAGGTCAAATTTGTACCCCTAGTTGCAGTAGTGTTCGTTGTGACCCAAGGCTATAGAAATTGAGATTGGTGCCGCATTAACTTAAGTTAACGGTGCACACCCCAGTTCTTCCGTGGTAGTGCGCAGTAAAAAGTGACGAAAGGGTTTTGAGGGTCCAAGTTTGAGGTGACATTTCTCATAAACTGCCACGAAATATCATTAAACTTTTACATGGCTGAAGAGTGTAAGAAATGATGATTTTGGGGTGAAAATTTCTTTTGGCTCCGAACCTTACTTCCGGGTATCCTTGCGCGCCAAGTGTAATCCGCCTGTTTGACCTAGATTTCGCTCTGCGCCTTCGTAGGGGTGGATTTGCAACCCCTCGCGCCGTGGACGATTGAAAAAATTTCAGTACTGGAATTTTCTTTATAATTTACTCAGGTATAGTCAAGGCTTGGGTCTTTCTGCCGTCATCAGTCATCGGACTATCCTAGGCGAAAATTCGCAATTTTGTGCATTAATTTTGGAGTGAAAACAATATTTTTTCCGTTGATTTTACCAAACTTAAAAAGGTTGAAGAAACCAAACTCAGCTGGTCTTGTAGCTGAAGAGATACCCATACACAGTTATTCTCCTTCCGAATTGTTCCACGGCAGAGAAGGTCGCTAGATTTGTGGGTGTGCAGCTTCGAATAGAAACGCCAAACAAGTGTCCATAGGCGACAATTCTCCGTGAAGTTTTATATTTTGCAGATTGAGAACAGTAATAGTGTATGTAAACAATGTGTGATCACTTAACAACTGGTAACAACGTATCGTAAAATTTGTAGGGGTGCATTTGAAATATTACATTGAATGCGAAAGCAGCAACGGCAAAAATACACATTTGTGCATCATCACGGGCGTGCCAGCAGACGACGTATAAGTTGCATGCCGATTACACAAAGAGAACCCAGTGTTTTGACTGCGAACACGAAAAAAACGGCTGTTCACAACACTCCGTCCGGAGGTCCAGACCTCCTTCACGGAGTAATAAACTGGGGTGTACCCCCTTAAAACAGGCGCACAGTAATGTCACACACACTGTGCGAATGTGACACCTTGCGGTACGTGTTGGATTGCAGGATGAGTTCTGTATCAGACTTGGATGATCGGCGGGAGCTTCTAGTATTTTATCTAACTGAAAGGTCCGGACATCTAAGAACATTTGCAAGATCACTATTTTTATGGACAGCTACACAGCTTGAAGAGATATACTACTACATGTAGCATCAGAACATGCCAATCGTCCCAATCAGGACGTCCCAATCACTAAGTACCTAATACCAGTCCAGAAGAGAACAAGAAATACTGCATATGCCTTCAAGTACCAGAGTTATCAACCAAGGATGGAGGCGTTCCAGAATTCATTCTTTCCTAGAACTATCGCAGAGTGGAACTCGCTGTCACCAAGTACAGTAGGGGCATTGTCATTAGATAGCTTTAAACAATGTCTAGAGTTGGATGTCCAAGGGCTAGGCGTAACAAGTCGATCGGTGTAATGTAGCCAGCTGCCGCCGCGCCGCATGCCTGCGAAGCTGGTGTGTTACACCGAAAGTCGGTTATACCGGCTACACAGATACAGAAACATATACAGATGCCATGTCATGCAGTAACACGCTCTGAGTGTGCACCCACATTACATTACTTTTATATTTTTTTGCAGTAATAGATATTTGACTTAATAACGAAATCAAAATTGCATTCTGATAGTTTCTACTCGTACAGAGCGATGCCTTGAAGAGACGTTTTGGCGGCGTCAGTCGCCCTGAACTGCAGAAGTTATTGCTCGTACCAGTGATATGATATAAATCGCAATGAACCTAGCAAAGTGCATCCTTTGGTGATGTATAGTGGTAATGTCGCTGCAAATTCGACCCTAATTTTAAGCAATTTCTAATTTTAAACAAGATCTAATACTATGTTATTTTATATCATCAATACTGTTATTTTAATGCGTTATTTTAGTATGTATTTTAAAGTGTACTTGTGTGAGTTGTAATTCTGAACGTCTACTACTTGTATATCATTGTAATGTTCTTACATCAATTCAGCCACTTATGTGGCTGTAAACTGTGGACAATTTCAGTCGTCAAGTTGACAAAAAAACACTTTATTATTATTATTATTATTATTATTATAAATTGTCGTAAACTTGCACACCGAACTTCATAGAGTTTGTCCTTGGCTGTGGTTCGATGATATCGGGCTTCGTTCGAATTTCATCTCTTCCAAGACATTTCCACAACCCCTCCAAGAGACCGCACGCCGACTTTGGCATTCAATGCTTTAATACATTGGGTACAAAAATGACAAACTAACCAAAATGTGACGATCTGTGATGATAAACAAGCAAATTAAGACTGACTCGGAAGCCGGGCAGGGGTGATATCAAATGGATCAGTGACTGAAAAGGCTTGTCTACCTAACTCTTTTGACAGAAAACTGGAAATGTCGCAGCCGCTAATAATTACGTGTAGAATATCTGGAACAGCGACGATGGGCGCAGCGCAGAGGCCATCAACTATGAGTCTGTACAAGATGATGATGATGATGAATGGTTTATTAAAATGCAAATCACTTGCAGCCCGCAGGCTGAATTGCGGATTCGTTACAAACATTTTCAGAGCTTGCATTAAGATAAAACATAGGGTCAATTATTAACCCTATGTTTTATCTTAATACAAGCTCTGAAAATGTTTGTATAAGTATAACAAATAACGTTATGATAAAATTTTACATTTGTACCATAATATGAGTATAAAACGGAATTAAAAGCTTAATAATACAACAATACGGAAATCCTTAAAAACATTAACTATTTGATCAAGCATTTAAAAGGAGAACAGAGGTATTGTAACAAGATCATACAAGTAGGATGTCAACTTTTTAAGGTAGCGAAATGTCATTATTGGCACTCTTGGTAGCGTTGATATCGATAACGTCTAACGATAACGTCTTAGAAAAGATACATCGGGGATTGAGTGGGGCTGAGAACATCACCAATAGACAAATTTTCTTCAAGCACTTCAAGTTCAACGGTTTGTTTTGACTGATGACTAGTGCTTGACTTGCTTGACGTTTTTCGCACCGCTTGTAAAATTCGCTGCAAATCAGGGATAATCTCCTAGCAGATTTGTGATTTGGGTTCGTTTTTTTTGTACGTCTTTTTTCCCGCTCTGTGTTCCATACTACCATCAACTGAAGGTACAAAGGTATTAAATATAGGCCAAAACCACACATCTGCTTAGAGATGACCTCGGGGCTCCCCCTGTGGTCGTTAGCAAGGGATGATGGGAACCCGGATGACGTCACCTCGGGTACATGCGCAATGGCAGGGCGATGTTTTTCGCTACACTGACAATCTCACGGGAAAACTGGAGCTCATCAAGAAATCGCAAAATTCTTCCGTACTTTGGCTTCCAACCGGCGCAGCGACGGACAGACGACGCAAGACACTCTACATGATCGCGCCATAGCCTTTTCCAGGCTGTCAGGTCGAAGGTAAGCGAAGAACAGTAGTTCATAGGAAGGTGACATGTCTATGTGGTCAACCCCCTTTCCGATGGTCAGTCAGATTTTTGACGGAAGATCACAGTCATATATGCCGAGGTTGACGTCAAGTTGAAGAATTTCTTCGTGTCGAAGAAAAACAAGTCAATTTCATTTATTTTCTCAGGGAAAATACCCGAGGTTATGATATGGTAGCTGACGACTTGTAAGTTGTAGAGAAATAGAAACTGAGGAGGGCGGAACTAGTCGATCGTGGGCGGTGAAGATTTGTGAGAGATACCGTGACCTAGATGCCACAAGCATCTTGATGTCAAAATGATGACTGAAGAGTCTGTATGTGGCACACCATGATCTTCAATCGTTTCGTATTGAAATCTCAATTTTCCACGATTGAGCCCCGCAAATGCGCTCGAATTGTGTCCGATATAGTAACGCACCGTGGTTACAGTTGATACCTGCTTGGTCCCAAAGGTCCTATCGTACTACGTCCAGACCTCCTTCCAGTGCAAAAAAAAATTGTCAATAAACATTTTAGACCACGCTATGATTTCTTTGAAATAGACAGTCTTCGAGAAATTTCTTTTTCATCAACCTCAAGGTCATATCATTTCCAGGAATTCGATTATGGCAAGTCAAGGGTAGAGTCTGGCGCTCCCCTCCCCCTTCCATAATGGCAGTAAACACATGTTGACATACAGGAATGCGTGTGTAATGTATAACCAGCGGCAAATACATACAGTTTTAATAGCAACGCTGAAGGCAAAATTCGTCATACAACAACAGTTAATAGTGACACACCTGATCGTGACTATTCCAGCTCACTGTACTGTATATAACACACTGTTTGAGTCACAATTAGGTGCAACACTGATGATGCAAAGGAAAGGGGTGTGGTTGCTTAATTAGCATATCTTGTCATGCTTATGGTTGTTCCCTCAAGTTTCAATGTTACCAGGTCATCAGTCATCTTTAATCCATATACTATTTAAAAACTGTAAGTGTAATATGCATCTTGTGTATTTTGTATGTACTAAAATGTATGTAGTGAAATGGTTATAACGTTATGCTCAATAACAAGAAATAAGTCAATCTCAACATTCATTTAGACATGAAACCTCACAAAAATTTTTGTTGAACAATTACTTTGTTTCCTCACTACCAAGATTTAGATATTTGATATGACCTACAAACATTTGACTGTGGTATACCAAGGACATTATACACAGTGTATAATGTCCTTGGGTATACGTAAATGTTCTTTTATGTATGAAGTTAATTTGTTAATAATGCCATGGATGTCAACTACATGTAGACTACACAAAAAGAAAAGCAGTGTCATTTACTCATGGTACAAAAAGTCAATTTCATAAAAAAAATTATCATCATGAAATTTATGAAGGCATTTTTTCACCATTGCTGATAATTTGTGTTATGTTCTCATTATGTTGATATTTGATTTTTGTGAGACTAAGTAAATATTCACAGTTTCATTTTTTTTGCATAATACGTTATGCCAATCATCAAATTTGAGAATCAGATGTTTGCACATAACAAAAACTGTAAAAGGAAAACATATTTATGCATAACATATCTTAGTTGTCTGTCCTTGGTTGAACATAACGCTGCAGTGGAACAATCTTCAATTCCCTTTTCATCAATAATATATGATATATAGGTAATGTTGAAGACCTGGTTGCAAAAGGGTAAGGTCATTTCTATATTTTAGATCACAATGCAACTGTACCATGGAATATCTAATTTGGTCTCTCAGTTTTTAGAAAGAAGGCTTGATGAAAGGTTTTGTATGAATAAATTAATGGCCTACTTGTAGAGTTAAAGATACTGTGATAGAGCAATAAATTATATTATTAATTTAGGAACAATCTGATACAAACAATATTCTGTTGTTCTTTTGTAAAATTATCTTTTAACTTTCAAAATGCAATGAATATATAGAACCGAGTTAGTAAAGTAGAGTCATTTGGTCAGGGAGGGCTTCTTTCCAGGATAGTATAAAATTTTTAAAAGACCAAAAGGTGTAAAACAGTCGTCATACTGTAATATTCTGATTGTAAAACCAGGGGTCGAAATACCCCTCCGTGTGCAAGTTGGTGCAGCTAAAATTGGTGCTGTGCAACTAAATTTTTACCAGTATGCACCGGCTCAAGTAAGCTTATCCCATAAAAATACCCAATAAAGAACTGAAAAGGTAACAAACCCAGAACCCAGGGAGTTTTTCTTCATTTTTTATAATCAATTAGAAAGTTACTATCTAAGTCACTGCCATGGTTAGTAGTTTATCCCCTCGACAGTGTAAGCAAATGTTGGATATTATAGTTACCACACATTTGTTTGGTTGTGTACCTTTTATTTTTGGGTGGTGCAACTAATTTTTTTTGGTGCAACTAATTTTTTTTTTCAACTGCACCAGTGCAAGTTGACCCCAAAATCTATTTCAACCCTTGAAAACAGTCATCATACTGTTATATTCTGACTGTAGCAGAATCAAGCAGCAACAGTTCCCTTGTCCTGTGGAGATTGAGCCCTGTTTACTGTATACAGTCTGCAGCTGTGGAGAGAAGCTCACCAGATGTTGAATGAATTGTGCCAAATTCATTAGTTTTGGTCTGTTGTAGACTTCCCTTGCCCTTCCAAAATCCGTTCCCCAACTCAAAACGTTTTTCAGTTCAACATGATGAAAATACCCTCTGATTTTCCTTGATGGAAGGAATCTGCGTTATAAGACTTGTGGTGGGCCCCCGGGCTGGTTTTCTGGGACACTCTAACCTACATTAGATGTGGAGATGGATGAGGGAATGCCCCTTGCGAGCTGTTACAGTGTGTAGTGCATGGCAGGATTACAGCTCAGAACCATCCGTCAGCGGCATGTCCTTATGTGGGTGCTACAAATGTGTTGGTGGCGTGCCGGGAGGACTTGGCGTTGCAGATGTTTATCGCCTCCGACATTTATCAGAAGGTGGGACAAACGTGGCCCCAGGTATCGTCTAGACACAGAGGGTAGACAGCCGCGGAAGTGTTTCCCTTTGTGGTTCCATTGTGTGAGAATTTTGTGATTGTTATGTGGTGGGCATTCAATATGTTTGCTCTCGTCCAAAAACTCAAAGAAGAGAATTATTCAAACTTACACTGTGTCAATGTGCACTGTACAGTATGTTGAAATTCTACAGTATAGTATTGTGAAATTCTACCATAAAGGTCGTATGGCTGACTTACATACTTAGTATTCTTCTTGTGTATTTTTGCTCCCTTCCGACAACTTAAAGAAGAGAATTATTCAAATTTACACTGTGAGTCTGTGACAATTTGGAATACAGAACTTATATGAGGAGAATACAAAACAGAATGCAGTAACAGGTAGAGGCTGACTTTTAAAAAGCTTTTACTGACCTTACTAGTATTGATGAAAACTTGTACAGAATGGAAATTCTACCATTATAAACATAGGCCGTATGTCTGACTTACTTCTTGTGTATGTCATATAAATTATAAGCAATGTAAGCCACAGATTGGTAGTTGATCTTGAATTTCTGCATGCTTTTAGTATAGAGGGTGGGACATTATATTAAAGGTAGGAGAATTAAAGCTTTAACTTAAAGGATGGATGGAATTTCAATAAGGAGAGGGACCATGAAAGCCAACATCTACAGTCCCCACTCACCATTATTTTCTCCTCTGAATGATACTAAAAATAATTTTCACTCATGGTTCAGCCTTCTCAAAAAAATTTAGAGTAGGTGGCTGATAAGAAAAAGTAGCAGGCGAGCCACGAAGTGGCTCGAAGCGAGCCGCGCAGCGGGCAGGGGGAGGGTACGGGAGGGGGGTGGCCCCCCTCCCGTTGGGGGGTCCGGGGGGCCTCCCCGTAGGAAATCGTAAAAATTAGACCCTAAACATCGTTTTTGGTACATTCTGAGCAGCTTTTATGGCAATCTTGTGGCTCCAAAATTTACTGTTCGTGCACAAATAATTCCGGAAAAAGGCTGTATTAAAATTGTTTGCCACTCCGATCGTATTACGCGCGGTCCTTGCGCCCGGCCACAAAATGCAGAAAAATAAAGAAAGCATATTTAAATGTCAATTTGATCGAAAACATAATCATTGGGGATGTGAAAAAATGTCACAGTTTCGCTTTTTGGAAGTTTTGTTTCTGTTTTGACGGTTTAATTCTAGCGGGGTGCGATCCATAAATGCCCTATGGAAATTCACCCCGCGTCCCGGTACACTGACTTCCGGGTTCCTTGAACAAGAAAATTACGAGAAAATGGCCAAAAATACGGCGTTGAGAAATATGCATCTTCCCGAAAATTCTTTTAATTATGTATTTCTTTAATAGGATGTTGCTTAGTAGTCGTAGAAAAAACGTAGAAAGCAGCGTAAATGTGTCTCTTCTTCACCGGCGAGAGCCTGCCGGCGAAGAAAAATCTTCCCGCGCTGCCGGCTGCTCGCCACATCGCTTATCCAATCAGAATGCAGGTCATGTGAGGTGAACCAATCACAGCGTCGATCGCACGCTGCTACTTAATATTCATGACAAGATGGCGCCTGAAAGCTCCTGTTTTTGTACAGCGAAGCGGAGTGTGCGTGTTTTTATTCCGGGGTTTTGACGCTGATTTTTGGCTAGCCGTGATTAAGCTACAAATGCCACACTAGTGGAGACAACAGATGAGTGATCATTTTACGATCGACAAGAACTTTTGATGAATGAAACAGCTGTGAAATCTCGCTGATGGCGATTTGTTTTTGAAAATTTGTCTCTGTGTATGAAAGATATGAACACGCTTCTATACATGTCTTGATATTTTTTGACGTGATTTGTACTAGTTATTTGTAGCAGGAATGTTACTAGTGCCGGGAGAAGTTGGGAAGGTAGCGGCTTGATAAATTTTCGTGAGCAACGAGTTTACGAAGCAAGTTCCACCTAGCTCGAGCGATACAGCTCCGCGGATACAACTCGAGCCCGAACAAGACCCTCC